AATTGTTTGTTGTTGGTTGTAGGGGTCCTTTTCTTTGCCACAGATTCCAGTGCAGTAAACTTGGCCTCTATGAACTCGATAAATTCATGAAAATTAGGAAGTTCTCGGGGATGTTTCCTTGCTTCCATGTAATCGGAAAGAGTTTGGGAATCCAGCTTTCCTGACAAGATATGCACCAGAATAGGGTCCCACGTGGTTGTGTCAATTCCTAAGTTGCGCAAGGCATGCACCGTTTCTAGACTCGTGTCGTGCAGGCGCTTCAGTTCGTGAGAGTTTTGATGTTGAATGGAAGGCTGACTCATCAAGGTTTGCATCTGCTTTGAGAATAACAGCTGCAGGTTTTTGTACCTGTGGTTTAGAATTTCCCAGCAAGAGTCATAATTGCTTTCGGAAACAGGTAAATGTTGTACCAAGCGCTCAGCTTCTCCCTTCAACTTCCCTTTTAGATGTTGCATCTTCTGACCCTTGGAAAAGGAAGGGTTGTTATGAATAGCAGCAGTGTATAAATCCAAAAATGTAGGCCATTGTGAGTAGGTACCAGAGAAAATTGGTATTTCTATCTTCGGAGCGCTGTCGCGTTGTTGTACAGCAAGGTTGAGTTTACGATTAAGGTTGCGTTTTGTTGACTCGTAAGTATCTTCATACTTTGAGAACTCAAGCTCGTAGTTTACGTCGCTACCAACAAGGATGTTGTCGAGTTGCCAATGGACATCATCAATCAACTTCCATCTGGACTCGAGAGTCTTGAGTTTGTCTTCAATGTCCCATTTTTCACTGATGTCAGCAATATTTAGGTTGCGTGTGAAGCGGGAGAAGGCTCGAAAGTTAGTGGCTTGTTGAGTTTTGAGCTCATCAGATTTGGAATAAACACCCGTGTTCTTGCTGAGCTCGCCTGGACTTCCAACTGCCTCCTGATCCTGATCACCAGCAACATATGTAGGCCAAGATTGTAATTTTTGTTGTGTGTTAATATATTCAAGCTTGACCAGGTCATATGCTTTACTGGCATAGTATTCATGCATCTGGTTTTCAGAGAACTGCAACACGCCGTGGTTCATTTCAAACTCATTCCAGAGAGCCTTCAGGTTATCCAATCTAACTTTGATGTAAGTTGTAGTCTTACGGTCTGGACCATCTTTTCCAAAGTTGATACCAATCTTCCTGATGCCTTCGGCGATGATCTGCTGCCGCTTGAGGAGTTCTTGTTGTTTAGTGTCCATTGTTGTTATTGAAATGTTATTGAACACTCTGTTTTACTTCAAATAGCTTCCGGATCGCTTACTGTTCGTGGTTCCTGTTATGGTCACCGGGTCAGCAGAAATCACTACGTACGATATATGCGCCTTCTCAATCCGACCGGGGCGATCCGCTTGTGGAAGACCGGTCAAACCGATTCGCTATCGTAAATAGAGATTCTACGAACCTGATGATGCTTGCGGGGCTGTTGTTCCAGTAGCGCGGTATCCGGCTCGAAGGACCAAAATGTACGAGCTGTTTGCCCGTACACAGAAATGTGTTTGTTGTGTGTAGTATGTTGTCAACGAAGACGGGATGTTCACAGAAATAAAATTACTGTTTTTGTATCCGTTCTCGAAGAGAGTATTTATTGTACTACATTAGTTAATTAGTGTGGCTATAAATAACATAATTTTGTTAGTAGGTTGCGTCATGAATGCACCAATAGCGCCCATTCGGCAAAATGTTAGTATAGCAGAATAAGTTAAAAAGTAAAACAATTGAAATCATGTGGCGATGCTCGTACATATGTAAATGTTATTAATGTATGTAATTTACAAGTATAAATAATCAATTGGAGAGACCTAGTACATAATGCAGATTAAGCTTTTATTTAACCCGTCGAGTACCGGTTTTGTAGACACAATTATAGAACAATAGGTTGCGGTCACCGGTGACCGCTTGGTGTTTGACAGTTTAATATTCACTTTGGTAGTGACAAAATGTACTTATTTCTGTAATCCAATAGCATATTCATTAACTGGTTGTAGCCTAAAGAATTTTGTTGTAATTGTTTGATAACTCCTATTACAATAAAGATTTCCTAACTTCCTATTATTCCCACTTTCAGATAAACAATATCCAACTCAAGGCAACTGGGCGCACGTGCGGTACGCTACGAGAGCCGAGAAGGAGCGCGCAATGTCGCTCAGTGGGCGGCAAGTGTTGCCTGGAGTCATGGTTGGAGTAGTTGAGTGCAAGGAGCCGCCGAGGATCGGCGTCACTAGTCCTGGACTTACTTCACCAGAGAGGTAAGAAACTGTGTATAAAGCTCAAGTCTAAAATAGTAATTAATATAAATATCATTCCAGTTATGTTACAAATCTCATTAAACTGTCAAACACCAAGCGGTCACCGGTGACCGCAACCTATTGTTCTATAATTGTGTCTACAAAACCGGTACTCGACGAGTTAATAAGTTATAAAATTAAAAAACTAAAACTCCCAATGAATGCTACTTTTGCAGGAGAGAACTAAAGATGTCTTGCTTTGCAGACTTTTTATTCAACTAAGTCTGTAATTAAAATTCTGTCTGTAGTTACCACAGAATTTTGTAAATGCTGTTTATTATTTACATTGCCCTTTAATAATACAGAAAATTAACCATTACCATATTGTTTTTTTTATTTTCAGGCAACCTGGCGTCCGCTCGCTCTGCCCGACGCCAATCGCGAACGCGCCCGTCCCGCAGCGGTCCAGCGGCCTTATTTCCAAAGCGTTAGACTACGTGCTGGGTTGGTGACATTCAAGAAACAATGTGGTGCGCAAAATCGGGCCAATCTATCGGCGAATCAGGCGAGCTCGCGAACACGTCACTCGCTTGCGATACCGACATAGAGACTTTTTCGCAATGTTTGATGAAATGAACCGATTACATTTACATGATCATCCTGAGTTACTTGATATAAATGAAATGTAGACTGAATGTGACGTTTATTTGAACAGTCAGCGACATAGGTGTCGGTAGGTTTGATACAAACAGTTTATAATTGCATGATATATTTTAGTTTTAACTTAGTTACGCCACTTATTATATTTCTTTATCAATCAATAAATAGGTTTAGATCGATCTATATTCCATTGTAATGTTGTCAGTCAGGTAACTTAAGTTTATTGCAGAACTGTAATAGTTTAAAAAGGGTGGGACCTTTGTTTTATATATTTCTTTGCAATCTAGAATATACTTACTTTTTAACTTAAGATTATAAAAGATACACATTAGGTAATTTTAATTTTGAACACGAATAAATAATAGACAATTTTCTAAATACCTGGTCTGTTTTTGTGTTGTTGAATCATAAATTGTAAAATATAAGTTTCTTTGCGAAAGATTATGGCGTTACCCAGGATCGTGCCCTATGCAGATTAAACTGCGCGACCTTCGTAAAATAAATATACGTACTATTATCATTTACGCTTTAATAAATCATAATTTTTTCAAAAACAAATTTTGTAAATTTGAAAAAACGGGCTCTATTTCAATACATGCTTCAGCACGAATAGGAATCGACCGAAGTGATTCTAAGGCTTCACGGGAAACCTGCGGGACACGCACGGCTCTTGCGTTGTGTTATGTCGTGTGAGTGGAGTCACTGAATGTCCAGTCCTTCCCCTGCCATCGCCAATTCCTAGTCATCAAATCCCTCCCCATCTAACCCTCTTTAAAGCCGGTAACGCACTCTTCTGGTGTTGTAGTGTCCATGGGCGGCGCCGATTGCTTTCAGTCAAGTGATCCGTTAATTCATTTCCCATCAAAAAATATAGGACACCAAAATACAGTTGTATATAGCTATTGTGCGAGGGACACGAAGAGAATCGCCAAGACTCTAGAATGGCATCTGGTTGCTCTCCTCTCGAGACTGAGGTGCAAGTGTCATGCAGCTTGATAAATAATTAGGGTTGTGCAACCATGTCTTGCAATAAGGCTCTTAATAGTAATCGAGTTACATACATCACAATCTGGTAGTATTTGACAGTATGTATAAAAGGACATCTTTCACAAAGTCGTTGACTGTGCCGGTTGAAAGAATAGAATTCTTGTTAACGTTTACATGTATAATAATTAATTGTGAGCAAATTATTTAATTAAGGTGGTTGTTTTATGTACAAAAAATAAAATACCTTTGATATTTCTTAATTATTTGTTTAATTGCTAAATATTACATATATAAAATACTTAATTATGGAGATTTTTTCAAATTGTTGTGAAATTATTTGTCCAATTTTAAAACTTACAGCCAAGTTAGAAGTGGAGTAACTCTGCTCTACTACAATCAACAATGGATTCAAATAGGATCTGCAGTGAAAATAAAAACGCTAAGGTGTACTAATAAATCCAGATATGCACACATAAAGTTAAGAAACAATTAGGATCTATTTAGTTATACCTAAACTCACCCTATTAAAAATTAAAATACAATTTTACGAGTAACTTAGCGTCATAAATATTACTTTATTTTCGTCAGACCCGTAAAACATCTATAATGTTAAGATTGATAAAAATGCTAGTTTACTATGTCTTACAGCTTGATTTTCCTGTTTATTCCGTTGCGGTCTCCAGCGCTGGAAGCGGCTGGTCACAGCTCCGGCCATGCCTAAAATCGCCGGAATCCTCCAAACAATCTTCGTGAAACAAAAAAATAAGTTTTTAGATTTATAGTAGAGACTTAAAAAAAAAATTGCATTTTTCTTATTCTTAAATCCATTGTTATTTAAATAGGAATGAGATAAATGATTTATTTACGTGTTATAAGCTTGTACATTCGTTAAAGTACAAATATAAAACATTTACAAAATGGATTGAAAGACACTATAGCATAGGATTCATTGTTACAATGGAATTTTTTTTATTACTTTGGCTTGTCTATGGTGGCGTTGGCGAGGTCAGTGATCTTTGTGTACTTGATGTTATGTTTGTCCAACTCGTTCTGTGACCACAGGATCATACGGAGAAGGCTGCATAGCTTCGGGTTGGTGTACTCTTGGTTCTCCATCTTTAGTATCGCGGCGTTCAGCTCACTTGCGATCTGATGATAATAGTATTGTAAATTGAGAATTGCATAGTTAATGATGATTCGATAATTTAAAATAGACTATTCGATTGGTTTAAAATTTGAATTCAGAAGAGAAAGAATAAATTTTACCTGATTTTTAATAATTTTTTGTTTGTAAGTCCTTGTACACAAAAAGTATGCAGAACACTGCAATACACAATCCTTACCTTTTGACTATGTGATGGTAGTAATAAATCTGCGAAGGGTGATGCATGAGGGTCAGGGAAGGCTAGCAGTGCCAGCGACCTCTCTAGCTCCGTAAGAGCATTGGGATCATTCGCACCAGCCTCTGCAAGTGTCGCGCTGGCAAATGCTAGAGCCTCTTCTGCCCGACCTGCGCGAATCAACTCCAAAAGTTGCAATTGCTGCAAGATATTAGAAAAGTTAGAGAAGTCATACAAAAAAAAATCCCTTCCATCCTACAGTTGGGTTACGTACGTGTCGATTTGAGAAGCTATGATATTCAATATTTTCGTCGGTAAAAAAATACCACGTGGTAAACCTACCACGCCCTTTTTTACCTTTTATTATAATCCGACCTAAAGGTACCGTTAAAACATGCTAATTATATAAGTATGACTGCACGTTTGGCGCGGTGGCTGGGCAACTGGCTGCTGCGCAACGTGTCACGGGTTCGATTCCCGCACGGAACAACTCTTTGTGTGATCCCCAGATTGTTGTTTCGGGTCTGGGTGTAATATGTATGTGAACTTGTATGTTTGTTAACGCACCCACGACACAGGAGAAAATCCTAGTGTGGGGCAACGTTTTTTTATATAAAAAATAAAACGTATAAAAAATTTCATAAGCAATCTCAAGCATTTTAACACTTCTCAACAATTAGCGTTATAACCTACAGTTATTGCAACTTCTTAATCTTTTCAAGAACTCATTTCAAGTATTTTCATGCATAACAATTTATCAATTATCAATTAAACAATTGTAACATAACATAACATCACGCCTTTTATCCCCGAAGGGGAAAGCAGAGGTACATTATGCCAGTGTACAATGTAACACCCACTTTTCACTATTTATATCAATGTCCCACGTAATAGGGGGTGAGCCAATTGCAGACTCCGTGCTAGCTACTACTGCGAATTTATAAAAAACCCAATTTTTTTTTTTTTTTCAACGGGGCATGATCATCGAATGACTGCCCCCGCCTGGGTGAGGCGGGAGGGAGTGTTAGACTCTTACTGACTAAAAACCACCCCGTTCCTTCTCCTGCACGTCGAG